CACCGCCACCACCACCGCCGCCACTTCCACTTCTTGAGCTACTACACCTACCACTACCACTACAGCACCACTACCACTACAACCGCTACTCCCACCACTGCCACCATCACCCGCTTGATGCAGCAGCAGGGCTGTAAGCCAAGCAGGAGCCCTGCTTCATCATCGGCATGACCTGCCAAAGATGCTGAATTTGGGTGGGCATCCACTATTGATGACCCTGCGGCTTGGAAAAGACTAGCTCCTGTCCCATGTGAGGTCTGCTTTCTCCGGATCAAGGACAGTAGATTTCAAAAAAGGAGCTTCCATCACATATCCCAGGATAATATAACACCTACCGCACGGAAGGCTCCACCAGTAACTGCTACTGTTTGCAAAACCCTGCCAGTATCTGTGTCCATAGAGGTAGCTGATTTTAGGCATGTCACAGGTCTCCAGGGAGTAGGGTTATTTAAGCTTTGGGGTTGGGAACAGTCGGCGGGCAAAGTGCGCAAAGCTACGAAACGCATGTCAGGAAGTACACACGATCAGAGTCTGGTGATGTTTGTGTCCACCCTAAACCCTGACCCTAAGCCCTCAACCCTAGACCTTAACTCCATAAGATCTGAACGTTTAGTAGCTCTCTGGTCCAGGCCTGACATGCTGTTTAGCCGGGACTGAAGATATGAACAAAGAAGACACGCGAAGTGTGAAAAGGCAACAAGCCCTGTTATAACTCCGCTCTGAACTACGAACTAATCGAGCAATATAGGGACTTCTTTTGACTTACATAAGGAAAGCAAGTATCATCTCAAACTGATGCCTGTTGACCGCCACCTACTGAATGTCCTGGCGGCTGGTAGGGAATCTGGATATGGATTGCTTTTGCAGTCCCTCTATACATTATATATAGCACCCAATGATATAATAGCTACTAACCACCCTAAACCACTGAAACTCAACCTAGTCGTATTTATTTGGGTTTGCCCATCCCTTCATTGCCTACTTACTCTAAATGCTAATCCACAAACACAAAACAGTAGATTCCCTCTGCTCTTCCGAGACAGTCGATGCTCTCTGCGTTTCCATTTCCTACCACAGTAACTAAACCCTAAACCACCGGTAAGCTACTACAGTAAGTGCTGCCCAGCAACGGCAGAGACCACGGATGTGTGCTGCTTGTCGGGCGTAAGGTTGCAGACAAGGTCCTGACGCTCAAATGAAAAGGAGATTAAGGGTTTGGGTTCAGGGCATCGATTCTAGAATACATGCAACCTACGCTAGCACAAGTCCGCATTCCAATTGATGAGGCTCTAAACCTTTCTGCTACGATGAAAACCATCCCGATGATTACCCCCCCTTCCTGCTGTGACTAATCTGGTATGACTAGTCCCCCCCAAACCCTAAACCCTAAACCCTAGAGCAAGCTTGATTGCTAGCAACCTTGTGGCAAGCAATATGGTTTAGGTTGGGGGTCATCTTGTCATTGCCCATTAGCATGGGCACGACTACTATTATTACTGTGTAATACTACTATGAGTTACTATGACTCCCACCAAGGCAGAATAATACCTGGAATGTTAGCAGTATACTACGAGTAGTACTACTATATCCTTAGTCCTATATGAAGATGATTCAGGATGGGAGGCTGTTCTGCATCGAACCCCTGAACCCTAACCCTAAGACGCCAAGGACCCAAATAATAGGGTTTTAGGGCCCAAATACTATAATAGGAATGGTATTTGGGCCCTAAAACCCTATTATTTGGGTCATTAGGGTAATCCCTAAGACGCCAAGTAGGAATTCGTAAGCTCCGCGCCGCATGTGGAATCAGCTCCTCGTAAGTCCCCACCTCTAAGGCGCTTGAACCAAAGGGTTTAGGGTTTAGGGTTTATAGGGTTTAGGGTTTAGGGTTTATAGGGTTTAGGGTTTATAGGTTTAGGGTTTAGGGGTTGTCAAGCTGTGCTTCCTCAAACATACTGGTACTTGAATGACCCTGGGGATCTATTGCTGGGTTTGCTCGAAATCTCATGGGATTATATACCCTAAGCCCTAAACCTCTAAACTTATGGGATTATAGGGCTGCTGCATACCCTGCAAACACAGGGATTAGAAGCAGACTGGGAGGATCCGTATTCGGGATTCCTCATGGGATAATGGAAAAGAGAATGGAAACTACTATGTTATAATAGGGTATATATTGGGGTTGTATTGGGTTTAGGGTTATTGGGGTCATATTGGGTTTAGGGTTTAGGATGGTTTTGAGAAATGTCCAAGTTCCTTGGGTACCGCATCACAAAGAGGTTTGCCATGCCGCAGTGCGCGTTGACCTGGGCTGAGGCTCCTGAAGACCTTGTCCACGTGGCAGTATACTGGGGTCCATATTTAGGTCCTCTATTTGAGCGACTGGTTTGGTTTATCGTCAGACTGATGCGCCGGATTTTGAACCCGTGGTCCACCATTTCGTTCCTGTTAGATTTGATCTTGTTTACGGCTTAAAATGCTAGAGCCTCGTCCGCAATCTTGGAACCCTAGGAATCACATAGAACTTGACAATAAATCGACCTATCTCGTTCGATCCGCTGTCCTGGAAACCCGCCATTTAGAGGGATAATTACAAAGATCCACTCCCCCACCCCCCCTCAAACCCTAAACCCTAGACCCTCGACCTTAAACCCTAAATCTGAAGAAGCCTAAACCTCAAGAATCCTAAGCCCTGAAAGATGGTTTCCATTTTCTTTTTGTTTCATCCCTATATAATTCATGTATAACCCCTAGAATCCAATATTACCTTTAGCCCTAAACCCCAAACCTCAAACCCCAAACCCTACAGTCCCCCTTCTTCAGATAGAATATGGCTCTGGGTATACTAGAATGAGATCCCCATAAACCCCATGTTCTATCAATTTAAAGGGGACTAAAACCCTAACCCCTAAACCCCTAACCCCCTAAACCCCTAAACCCCTGAACCCTCAACCCCTAAACCCTAAAGTTGTATCAGGACATCCCAAGCCGGTACCTTGAATCCGTTCTGTGACGCGTTCACGAAGCTTTGTCTCTTCTGGTCGATGGCATCCTGGAAACTCTCTACTTACTGGTTCTTAGTAGGGAGCCTTGGAATATAATCCCTATATGGGTGGTTTCCCAAAATGAGGGGCTTCCTTTTTTGGGTTCCCCATACTAAGGATTATCGTATATGAGGGTCTACATTTGGGTCCCCCTATTTTGGGAAACTACCATATAAAACTTCTATAACATAGTCCCTGATTTTCTACTAGAAACCCGTAAGTTTATTGGGATTAAGGGTTTAGGGTTTGGGTCGCAGGACTTAGGATCAAGGAGTTAGGGTTTGTTTTGGGTTTAGGCTTAGGGGCGTAGGATACAGGGTTAAGGGCTTTAGGTTTAGGCATTGCATTGTAGGATTTGGGGTTAGGGGTTTTGGGTTTGTTTTGGATTCGGGGTTTGGGGCCCAAGTGCAAAAAAAATGTGAGGAGTAGGTCCACATGCTATAATCTGAATGCTCTTTTGTACCTAAACCCGCAATATTTGTGCACTTGACTCATTTGCAACTTGGGATATTCAAGCTTCTAGATCGATGCTCCTCACTGGATTTTCTCCGTGATCAGGATCCACAGTGCATTGGGGTCCATGTTGCTGAAGCCGACTACCTAAACCCTAAACCCTAAACCCTATGGCTACCTGGAAAGCCTGGAACGATTCTAAAGGTGCTTGCACTGCTATGAGCACTGCGTGACGGCAAGCTTTCATGAGGGGCTTCGGGCGTCCTCATCATAAGGATTACAGTATCTTGGGGTCCATATTGGGGTCCGCCTATTTTGGGAAATCCAACTTGACTTGCGGAAGCCAAAAGCCTTTGTCTGGCTGATGGCACTCGCTTTCATCAACTCTGTCGAAACTGTAGCGCTCTGACGTTGGGCTTCCTGCCATGGATTAGTGCTAGTGCATGCGGTCGAGATCTCCGCTCATGTAAAGTGGAAGTCTGAAGTCTCATTCTACAGGTCAACACCAGAAGCGCAAAAAGAATCTTCGATTCTGCATATCTTAATGCTGTATTGTCAGCTTGTAAGAAGCCCGGCTGACGATGCCATGATTTGCTGGTTATCTCTCAAAATCAGAGCCCAATGACAGAACAAGTCGAGCTAAGTTCTACATTGCCTCTGCAGCTACACTGGTCCGTCAACAGTCCTTCCGCAATGCGTAGCTCACGTCGCAGCCGGAGTCGCGCATATTCAGGCCCTGGCATGGCTTACGGCCGTAATTTGTGCACGCACGCCTCGTGCATAGCATCTTCAAGTCCAGAGGAGGAGAACCGCTTGTTCTTGATAATCATTGACAGCTTGGCAAGATGTGCAATTTCCAAGATCGCATGCAGCGGCAAAATAGCAGATAGCAGTGAACACTGCAGGTAGCGGCCTGATGCTCATCAAAGAGCAGTGCTTGGAGGTTCATGGAAGGTCACAGCGGTCATATACGGAGCAGATGTGAACATATGCAAGCATAGAGTATAGGGCCTGGGACAGTCGGAACTGTGCTTATACACGACCAAAAATACCAGCGCAGCTGGTTGTGAAGTATGGGAGACCCCGGTGGTGCTCCAGTGTGCCTACCACTATGGGCCATTAGACCTTAAAATTCCCCATTAGGACCGTAATAAGGGTAGATTAAGGGACCGTTAAGGTCTACTAGCCCACGCTGGCAACCCCTACTTTGATGATGTACCTCCAAGTGGTATTCAAAGCCCTAGACCCTAAGAGCGTTGTAGGATTCGTCGCTGCAACAAGGAACTCCCCCAGCCGCCAATCAAGCTAAAGAGTCCATGCCCCAAGGTTCCAAGCACCCAAGAGCTGGTTACATGGGATCTTGGTACTATCAATTGGAATACAGGATTTGCGGAAGTAGATCCGTAGGGATGCTTCTCAGCACTTCGTGCTACTTGTAGATATTCACTTTGAAGGTCCCCGTTCTTGGCTGACCCTCGCAGTAGAACCTGAAACCTCGAATCGTGTTTATCGGTCTTCGGGGTCCATGGGTAGCTACACATGGAACCCAAATTCGAGTTCCAAAGCTTGCTACTGTTTGACAGAAAGAACCCTCCAAACCGAAGCTGCAGAAACCTGACAGAAACACGTTTTGCCCTAAGTCGACGCCTATAACCCTGCTGCCTTGCTGGAGTATAGCCGAACAGTTGATATGGGGAACATACAGGTGATGCCTACGTAAGAACTTTGACCTGGGGAGCTAAACCTATGAATAATATCCACTTTGGTCTGGAAGCCGATAAATAACAACTACTTGCGGGATATGTGGATGCCTGGGAAAACCCTGAAGCCTGAGCCGCAAGCCCCATCCCCCAAAACCCCCAAACCCCAAACCAAAACCTGAAGTATCCCAAGCATACCCTAAACCCTAAACCCTTTACATACGAAGGCGTTCTCTATGAACTCGGCCTGGTTCAAACCCTGTGCACCGCAACCGACAATGACAACCTTCTTCTTGTCCTGGTCTTTCGAGAATTTGTTAAGTGTTTTAATATGTCGTCCTATGTTTCTCTTCCTTGGGTACTTTTCATACACATATCCTATCCTCGTTGCATAGTCAAAAAATCAGGTTATAGGACGGTCATTGCATTTGTGATTTACACCTCCGAAATATGGAGCAATGTATTTTAAGATTGGCTGTCAAACCGGAATGATGTGGGATGTGAAGCTGGAGATGGAGCCCGAGAGCTGCTAAAATTGAAGGCTTTCATGCGGGGCTGTTCATTAGACGGAATACAAAGCAACGTTTGGCATGTTCAAGTTGGACTATCCAGGCAGTAAGCTCAGCCCATATCTCCAAGTAGTATTTTCAAGGTGGGGTTTCTGCCTTTATGTTTTATGCTTCGTTCCACCGGAGAACATCCAGAAAAACCGGAATCTGGTACGAAGGTTTGGATGCGACGTTTAAACTCTCAGGCTTACGCCCACAACTGCCCACACGGTCGAATTTCCAACTAGTAAGCACTTCTCTCGTTTGAACCCAAATTATGCGCAATATTGCCTTATCTCACTGTTCCTTGTTGAGCGGCCTGGCTTGTGCCGGCCTGTCCTGCTTGTGACAGTAAACTGGCAAAACATATAGGATAAACCGGGTCTTTCCACAATGCTGCTGGGACATTGAAAAGCCCGTGGTCTTGATTAAGGCCAAGTGCCAACTTCAGGACGCCATCGACGAACTCGGAACGCGCCATGAAGCGGCATCGACCAAGCCTGCGAAGCATTTACATGTCAGCCCGTGCTTTGCATGCTGCGCGGCATTTTTCATCCTTAGTGACGGCTCTTGCAAGGTTGATGTGTGGCTTTCGCGACACATCTTGCATAAGCATATGCACGAATTGAAGCACGCTGCCACTTGGAATGGGCAATTGGCAACGCAGTCTTTGCCAGATGTGCATCTGTATCAATGTAGGATTTCCGGAAACATGGGTGCACCTCACACATGCTTCCAACTACGCAAAGTAAAGCTAAATAAACGGAAGGTCACCTTGACAATGTCCTGCGTGCTTAGCACGCAAGCTCCACAGCTCTTACGCGCAAAGGTTGTAATGTTCCAAATGCACAACACGCGCATTCCAGACCCGCGTTGCCACAAACTTAGGTCACGCGGATGGTCGAAATTTGAACTCATTTTGGACCTAAATCCGTCCAAGAGACCCAGAAGGCAGACGGGTAGGGGATCAACAAAACAAATGCAAATCAAACAAAAACCAAACAAAAAACCATCATTAAACAACACATCAAACAAGCCAAACGGCAAAAAAAATGGCAGCATGAACACAATATGTAAACTGATGAAGGTAATGTAAAGTGAAGGTCAAATCAGTTCATGGAAGCTGATATAATCTGATGAAAGAAGATCACAACGGAAACTGATGAAAACAATGAAAATTGTTGAAGAAGAGTCATGGCAACTGGGAAACTGAAGACGAAATTGGGGAATATGGTGGAAAATGCTAGAAATTATGAAAAATGTTGGGTAATGGTGGAAAGTATGGACATGATGGACAATTATGAAAGATAATGCCAAAGTGAGGAAAATCTAGCAAATATGGGAGCAGAATGATAAAAAGACAGCAAAATCATGAAGAATAATGAATATGATGAGAATAAGGAACAGGATGAAAAACAATGTAAAATATGACAAATGATGAAACATGAACATTGTAAAAAAGAGTGAACCTCACGAAAATTATGGTAACTGATGAAAATGATGAAAAATCATGAAAATCCTTGAAAAAATGGAAATATGAAATCATATGAGCTCATGAGCACTGGAAAGCCTGGATGGCCTTGCAAAAAAGAAGTGTGGTGTTTGCGGGTCGCAAACCGCTCCCGCTTGTTGACAAAAGTATCCGCAAAATCCTCATTCATTGCAAACGTAGCCTCGACACGACACGAAGAAATTGTGAAAGATGATGGAAGTAACGGAAATGATTAGAATAAATTTTCAATGATGATGATGAAAGTGATCAACATGATGGAGTATGAGGAAGCATCATGAACATGTCCTGAAAACTTGATGAAAATTGATGGCATGTGGTGCAAAGCGTGAAACGTCATGGAAGATGATGAAACTTATGAAGCTGATGAGACATAATGACAGTGAAATGCGATCAACATCATGGAAACTGATGAAGCATGCTGCAACTGGGGACTTATGATGAAACGTCTCTGCATGAAGCCGGCATCGCTGGAGAGCAAGTCAGAACCAGCACGCTGCAAGTTCCATGCGTGGCTCCGATGGGAAGCCAAGGATAATTTTTTCTGCTATAGTTCCGCAGTGCGCAAGGCATGTGAGAAAGCTCAATACCTTGATTATTGCCAGTCACCAAAGCCAATTGGAGGTGTCAGAAGTGCTGCCCTTGTTAGCACATGTAAGTTTTCGGATGTGAGCTTGGAGGCGTCTGGCTGTCAGCGTTTTCGGTTAAAGACTTGGAAGTCATAACTGTGAACGGTTTTGAATGCAGCGCATCTGGCTCATTGCCACCAGGGTGCCGCGTGTCCGAGATGGACAAGAACGATGCTAAACAAGAACAGTGCAGACAAAATGACGAGAACAAAGAACCTGGTTTCCTTCCTGGGCTGTCTTATTTCATTGTTTTGTCTTGCTTGCCGTCTGTATTTCCTCTGATCAATATCTTTCTTTATCTCTTTCGTTCGCTAGTTTTCTGTTTCGCTCTTTATCTCTTTCTCTCGCGCTCTGTCACTCTTTCGCTCTTTGTTCTTCTTCTCTTTTCCCTCTCTTTTTATTTCCCTGCTTCCTTCCTTGCCTCCTTCCATTTTCATTTCTTCCTTCCTTTACGTCTTTCTTTCGGCTTTTCTTCATAGATGCATGTGTCTGTTTTGGTTTCTTTCGCTGAGTATTATTTTTCTCGTTCTTTTTTTGCTGTGTTTCTTTCAGTATCTATTTCTCGAAGTTTTGCTCCCCAGCCATTCTCACTATCTTCTCTTTTTGGCTCAATTGATGTACTGGATTACGTTATTTGTTGATCTGTTTTTGTCTTTAGGTTAATATTTGCTTTTTGGACTGATTTGTGTTCTTTGACCTCTCTCCCGAAGGCAGAACCGCAAAACTATTTCACTGCTTGCACGTACACGCCTGTTGAAGGCTTCTCCAGGATCTGGCGCTGAGCAAAGTCGAAAGAACTAATTAGCTCAAGACTTCAATTTGATATACAATCTGCGCTATGGATGCTGGTATACGTGCTATGGATGCTCACGTCTGTCATGAACTACGTCTGCCGCTGCCAATATCACTACATCGCCCCCGCGACAACGTCGACCCTCCTTCCCCCACAGGGACACGACCAACGCCATAATTGCCATGTCCGCCACAACCACAACACCATTACTGCAGCCATCGTTGCCATTACCACCACCGCCACTACCACTAGAGGAGAGGAAGCATTACTCCGCGCGCCATTGCATAGAGCTATGCAGATAAACAGGCCTTGGAACTTGGTATGCTCACAGCTGCGTGCATCTGCCCGACGTTCGCCCAAATCATGCCACATGCCACTGCCGATGTATTGTTTAGTGCAGCACCGCAACATACAAGAATCAGATTTGTGAGAAATACCAATCGATGATCATGTTAAATATTTCAAAGTTGAAGGCCTGTCTTGGAGTCGTGCTCAATTCCAAATCTCAAATCTCTGTTGTGCCCATTGAGGGGAGGCACATCGCCACCTATGCATATTGGAAGCTGTCCATACATGCACCCTACTTATAGTGCGAGCTTTCGCTGCCGCAGCATGGCTTGCTTTGGGGTCGCCGAGGTGAGCTTGCCCACTACAAATGGGCGTGTTCATGCGAGGGGGACCGGGAAACGTTTGCGTTGTGCACGTCATGACAACAGACCAAGTAACCACAAGGCATGATGACGTTAGGGCACTGTGTACTTCACATTCTACCAGTATGACTGCGAGGGCACCTAACCCAAAGCATGTCCATTGCGCATTACAACGAGCAAGTTCAGTTGCTGGCCTGCGTGGGTTTAGGGTTTAGGGTTTGGGGCTCGTTGGGGCTCAGGGTATAGCTTCCAATCGTTGTTTGCGCGGAGATTCTGATCGAATCGCTTGGTGTCAAGCTGTTTGCAACAGCGCGTACGCGATGATCTAGTGGTAAGCCTGAAGTGCGGAGAGCTGTCTTTAAGAATGACAGGCCTTTGGTTGCTCCAACCCTTGCAAAGGACGCCATGCGAGTCACATGATAAGCAAAGACCTAAACCTAAATCACAAACCCTCAACTCTACAGGATCCTGATTTTGAGGGCTATGGTAACCAGACTCCCGGTACTCTTTTCTGCGCTGGCAACAGATCAAACCAAGCAAGTTTGAATGCATAGCGTTCCCGACCTAAAGCCTAAACCCGGAACCCTAAACCCCACTGTGCTTTCTGTGAAGAACTGATATCGCAAATTTGCACGCACGAAGCAAACGAGATCTGGAAAGCATGATTTCTAAGAGAGGTGTGCCATAGCCGCTGTACCCATCAGGGAGTGTCATGTGGGGGATTGTCAAAATTATGATACCTTTTTGGGTCCCTATTATAATACGGGGCCTAATACGGGGCCTAATTTAGGGGACCCAAAAAGGGACCACAATTTTGACAACCACCCATGTGTTTAGGGCTTAGGTTTTAAGGATATTTCTTGTGTGTCGGTCTTTGTACTTGAATTGCCTACCTGATAATTGGTATCCTTACTTCGATTTGCATCTCTGCCCCCGATATGATGACGCCTCTCCGAAACAACGCCCAACCCTTTGGCCGCATCCCGAATCCACAAGCTTGCCAATGAAAACTTCTATGGGAGCTTCTCAAGACATCTTGTGTCTAATCCCTTGCAAGAACCCCATACTCCCCATACAACCCAATCCCCGTCCAACCCGTTAGGCTGTTGAAAGAACCGGGTGTTGAACCCGCTCCCTTTTTGCCACACGTAGCCTGTAAGCCCTGAATTGTTTATCACTCCCATACGCCGTTGTTTAGGGTGAGATTGATAAACACATGACCCTCATGTACTATAGTGGGGCCTAAATGCTTACCAGTTAAACTTTGCTTGGAAACCTGTTTTTTTTTAAGGATACCCTTTAACATATCTATACAACGAATCTGGTCCCACAAAGTTGGTAGTTATTCAGGCTTCTACATGAATCTCCATGACCCAAAGCAATTACAACTCTCTTGCATGTTGATGTTTGCACTTGGCTTGACCGTCCACAATTCAAGTTAGGACACCTTTTATGGAAACACCCTGTGGAACATTTCCCGTGGCCAAGCTTTTTTTGGATCGGCAGATACGGCAGTCAGCCCCAACAGAGATTTTATGATGCCTCAATATAAGGACAAGGCATAGCAAAACTCGCATAGGCAGCAGTGATACCTTATACGGAACCCCTGCACGAATCCACTACAGACCTTCCTCAGAGAAGTGCCTCAAACGAAATAGCAACCAGACATAGCCACTTCAAAGCTGTCACCTTTCCGTGAACCCCAAGGTCACTACCCATGAGCCTCCAAGATAACCTTGAAAGAAGCCTGCACACGACACCAACAAAGCCATACTTGCATGCAGCCCTGAACCCTTAACCCTACACCCTGAACCCTACACTCCAAAGCCTAAACCTTAAATCCTAAACCCAAAATCCTAAATCTCAGTCCTAGACCCTGAGGCCTAGACCAGGAACCCTAAAACCTAAATCCTATACC